TCGTCAAGCTTTCAAGGAGAATATTGTGAGTTGTAGGTATATGTGCCATTTTTGAGATCGCGTAAAGTTTTATTGTTAATTGAAAGTTCCAACCGAAAGTCGTATAACTACCATATATAAAAAAAATCATTAGGTGCGCAACCGAAAAAGTGTGCCACCATTTTTCGACGAATTTATTGTGTTTCAGTGGTCGGTGCCCTTTAGAACAAAAAACCAATAGTAAGAACTTAGTCGGGTAGTAAAAAATAATGGACGCTCATATAATTTTCAACCGCGAATAAAGCGAATCAGTTACATTGAAAAACCAGGTTATTAATCAAAGTTGTGCATCTCATTTATTTATACGAGGTGCTAATAAAATTAGAAATAATACAACAACCGGCAAAAAGGCAAAGGTTTGGACATTTCCATACTGCCGAACATTGGTGACTTTTCCATAAATAAACTAAATTGGAACTAATAAATGGTGGAGCACGGTTGTGCCGATTTTAAATTCGTCAATTTATTTTGCGTACCACATCCTTTTCTGGCGATACAAAGGTCCGATTGTACCGGATGGTCCAAAATAACTGCAGATTGTTGTGTTTTTTACTTAAGGCATTGGCGCGTTCGCAACTGAAAAAAAACTTTGCGACTTCAATTAATTAATTGAAATAAATGACATTTGGTATGTTACCAACTTTATACATTTGTAGTTTTGCGGGAAATTTAAACTGTCCGCAGTCACTTTGGATCACCTGGTATTGTAAAAAGGGCGTTCCACTACTTTCTGCTGCCTTTTTCAAGGAGAAAATCAGCGTCAATGGGAGAATATTTTAACTCACCGATAAATAATTTAATTGATTCTTTTTACAATGTACAAAAATAGGAATCGACTGTTTTTGGGGAATTTGTATAAGAAATACGCACTTAAATTCATTTTAACTTTCCTGGAGAGGACGATTCACGGGAATTTATCGTTTGAAGTGATCCTGAAGTTCATTAAAACCATTATCGATGAATTGCTCCATTATTAGAATTATAAGGATGCATTAATAAAACGTTGAATGTTGCTGTATTCTTATAATTGTTATTAAGTTTTTCTTTAGGTTATCGATTTCGGCACTAGGCCATCGTCAGACCTTGCTGAAATTACATTTGTGAAGTGGTGGATAATATAAAGTTAGCGGCTTACCGTCATGATTGGGCCTAGTGCCGAAATCGATAACCTAAAGAAAAACTTAATCACAATTATAAGAATACAGCAACATTCAACGTTTTATTAATTCATTAATACCATTCTTTTGTGGTGGTTAAATGTATCTTTAGTATCAAGATGTGTAAATGTTTTGTATAGAAATTTTGTACAGAGACGGGACCACGAGACAGGTTTGAACTTTTTCATTTGTATTGATTACATGAACTACATTAATATTTTAAATCACAGAAAACGAAAAGAAAACTGGTGTTGGAACACTATTATTTTTAACAATATATTCAAACAAATCAATTTATATGAGTACTTACTTGAAAGTGGAAAAACCCCATTTTAATTTTCAGATCATAAGTCAAGAGAACAAATCTTCCGCAAGGTGAGAGTTATTCAAAAGTTTATTCATTACTGAGCTAGCCGTGGTATTAATTATTTCATTACAAAAAATTAACTGTTACAGTAAAATGTTTACCAGTGCCGAAGAGAATAAAATATTTTTTACAAGAAGGGTTTCCAACCCCTTTCAATATAACTAAACCATTACACCCTTAACATAGTGTCAGCCTGTAACCTGGCATTTCTTACATTTCAGGAATATATACCGATTTTATTGGCTTTCTTTATAGCTTTGGATGCATTGCTAGCAAGTTGAAGATCCCAATGGCAGCAGGAAGATTGCTAGCACTTTCTGATTCTGGATACATTTTTTCTTAGGATACGGCGTATTTTATTTTTGATGCGCCTCAATTTCCTGTTGTGTATCGGTTAGTGCTTAATCTAAATCGAAGGTGTGAGGATGCCAGTATTTTATTCTAAGCTAATTGCTTTTGCACATGGAATTTTAAGGTTATGCAATAAATCGGTGTAGTTAGTGGGATCGGAAAAATTTCAAAACCGCAGATAAAGGTAGATTAACCAATAAAATTAACATATTTTAAACAGGTAATTAGATATTTAAATACCATTGATTTGTATATAATCCAGTTTGTAACTTACGACGTTAATTGGTTCAGAGCAATATATTATTTTTTTTATGCGACGGTATAAAATTCGGCGAGACATGTCTAGCTCTTGCGGATCCATATACGTTTCGTGTGAAACCACTTTAAGGTGGATTTAGTTGGTAATTATAATACAGCGCCTACATCTTCCTGCATAATTCCAATTACAACTTCCTTCCTTCGAAACATCAGAATCTGTGAGAATTTGCCAAAGTTGAGCATTTAAAGCTAGGATTTTGCGGACGTAGACTTAATAAAGGGGATTAATTAGCGGTTTAAGAAGAATTCCCTGGATCATGCAAGTTATGTTTGTGGTTTAATTCGCTGTAATTAGTGAAAAGCGGAGTTTTTACTCTTTAGGCCTCAGTTGGCTGATCTCAGATCAACGAGGCGGAACTGAACGTGACTTTAAGAATTGGCTCTAAGAAAATTACTTTAAAACTTATTGCCTTTTTAGAACAAAAAACTTCAGTTTTAATGACGAGGTCCTTTGTCATTTGCGTCCTTGTCGTAAATTGCAATTCTTTCGATTTGTCTTATACTGCGTTACGCAACATCCCTGCGACTTTCCAAGGGAAACACTTTTGTGGGAAACAATTAGGTACATATAGCCATGTGACTTTTGATAATTTATGCGCCAAATGGTCACACAATTAAAGTAGAAAAACAAGTTTTTTAATTATGTGTTTTTGAATTATATGAAAGTATGGTAATCGCGTACATTCCTATGCAAACTTACAAAAAAATAGGTAAGTTCCTAAATAACTGTTTATATATTTAATAGTGGTCATTAATAGTGTTAATTTATAGTGTAGACGACCTTGCAAATTATATGTGTACGGTATTTACAATTTTCAACATAGATAAAAATTTGTTTAGATAAGGTTTCATTAAAATACACATGCAAATGGCGAAGAATGCTGTTTTCCAAGCTGATCAAAATTTAGTCCCCTAGACTGAAATAAATGTAGGTCAGGGGGACAAAATCTCTTCAAATGGTAGCAAATAATTCAACACCGTGCGTAGTGTATAAGGGAATAAGTGGCCGTTAAATTTCCAAAACGTAGCTTAAGCAGATGTGAGATTAAATGGACATCTAATTTTGTGCGTAATTAAACCATTCTTTTACCTTGAAATTTATAATGGTAAATTTTCCGCGCGCCTTCGCTGTGTGTAGCATTTACCTTTATGTCGTAATAAGGAATGACGAAAGGTCCCACCTTGGTGCAAGTATATAATTATAAATCTTTGTTATATGTCAACCGCGCATCCCACAGATGACGCCGAGCCCGTGGATGTGGAAAGCCCCCTTTTGTTCTCACCGCAATATTTAAACACCACACTAAACGAAGAAACGCTAATGCGAAATTTGTGTACAATCATTTTACGAGAAAAAAAAACTCAAAAATCGTGACGGCATTGCTTGTGACAATCGAAGCTTACTCACTTCCGTAATCATGATATACAACCTCTTCATGGCGACACGTGCGGAAGAAATTGTTTATACCCGATATTTTAATAAAAAAATTTCCATAAATTATAAAAACACATCAACGCAGATGTGGTAGATTTTTAATTAAGAAAAGTAGGGAACATTTTAAAATAAGTGCGAGAAGCTGTTCTTGTTAAGTAGGGCTACAAGAACTTGAAAAGGGCGACCTAGGAAGGGTTGTTAAGATATTTAAATTGAGATGTTACTTAATTCCACTCTACTGACTCGCTAATTGCCTCGCTCTTAAAATATAACACATAAAATAACCCCTTAAACCTCTGACTCTGAAAGCATTTAAACAAGTAGGATTAAGGCAGTGAGCTTTTGCACAATTCTTTGCCGATGTAAAGTAAATTTGTCGCAATTACTATCTTCTGTAAGACAGGCGTAAATTAAAGCTATATACGAACGTATCAACGCATCAAGTTTAATGTTGTATATTATCCGTCTTGATCTTTCCATTAAAGTGGGTTTATCTATATTCCGTTATTTTAGTTCTACTTAATGTCCATTATACGCAGATAACGACCGTAAAACCGCACTCGTTTCAATACTGACGTCGCGAAGAAATTGAATCCTAGCGTATTAAGAAATGAGGTCCGTACCTGCCAATACTCGAAAACCATTTATAAGAGCGGGTGTTTTGCATCTACGATAATGACCATATCAACTGACTGTGCGTTGTATGAACAATCGACGTGTAATTACCTTATCTGCTGAACGCTTAACCTCACATGACATTTATGTACCTATTCCATTTCATTCATTCCAGTGCCGATGGGGAATTGTGCAACTAAATAAGATTCAACTCTTCACAACGGAATGAGTGCGTTATTGTCGCAATGAATTAAGAAACGTAAAATAACGAACACATTTTCAGCCATTTTTCTTCTTTGCAAACCTAACAGTGTCATATCGTATCTCTTCCCTTGCCTATGTTAGTTAGTTCGAATCGAGTTTAGAGATTCTGCGTATTTTTAAAATCACTTACTGAAAGGCAACCTCGAGCGTCTTAATTACTTTCATTTTTGTGTAAATAATGTTAACGTTCACACGTTAATTAGAGCAAGTATCAATTCGGACATGTAAAGTTTGTCATCGATTGAGCAGTTAAACATGAATAATACGAAGGCCTTTTATTTAATAACTGGAGAAAGGATAAATCAATTGTCATATAAAGGTGAGATCGTTTCGTTGTTAATTTATTCATTATTTCTTAGCCAATCAACTGAAAAATAACGTAGATCTTTCCTATAGGATATTATAAATGCCAAATTGCAACTAAATTCTAGTGAAGTGCTCCATTTATTTAGTTATACAGGATTAAGCTATGAAAAAATGACAGTTTTCGAACTGAGGTAATTTATTTAAAATTGATATTTCTTTGGCGATCGATTTCGGAAGTCAATTATCCCATCACCAGGCCTAGCTGACATTATTATTTATATAAGAAACGATTTAAAAAATAATTATAGTTAACAAATCTATATTACCTGTTAAGTATTTTAAATGTGTTGGAACGTAAATAGCATGACCACTTTCTCCGTCCGTCTATCCGAAGCCTTAACTGCTCCTACAGTTTTCAAGATATGTAGATCGTTCTTGTTCCACTCGCTAGCTTATAGCTCTGGCACCTCAACCAAGATCAATTTCGACGATTTATGTGCACATGTACAAACTTTCTCACATTAAGATTTTTCCGAGGATTTTTCTAGTAGAGGCAAACATATCGCATATTTTAAACATCAGTTGTGCTACTTTCGGGAAGTCTTTAGCAGTGAATACGTGGCTGGTATACTTTTGCTTATTCGTTCGTTGATTTCCACGTCGAATTCCTTTTCTCTTCCTACAATCGTCACCGTCGTCTTGACTATTTAGTTTTCATTGTCACTTACTAAATTCTTCCTAGCATATGAGTATTTTAATATATCTTAATACTTCCTTAATAGTTCCATATGTTTTTTTAAGGTCAGCACTTTGGTATTTGGGATACGGGATTTGCTTTGAAAAGCGGCAGAGCAAAGCGATGTAAACTTCATAGGGGAGTCCATGGTGTCCGTCGTCTGTCCGTCCGTGAACACGATAACTGCCAAATGCTTGGACCTATACGGCTCAAACTTTGCACATGCCAAATTACGCAACGGCTTGAAGTGACAAGCAAATTACAATTTCGCTATCATGGCCTCCAGAAATATCTCGAAATCGTACAAATGCCGAAAGCTAACGAACACAAAGCAAACCAAATACTTCGAGCAAAAATTATACAACAACCCTACACTAAAATCAAAACTAACTGTTACAAGCTCTAAATTTGGCACTATTTTTTTGATTTTTTTAGATTTCAAGGGTAGCGTAGATTAGTCATTACATGTCATAGAAAATTTATAGGGTATCGAAATTTAGACTAGGGGAATTTCAAGAGGGAATCTGTAAACATTTGATGCAATTTAAGGTTGGCCTTTCTGCGCCTTTTAATTTCTGTAGAGCATTGTTTTCATAATAGGTTCCGGATGTCTGGAGACGAAGTTGTAACAGTTTATTTTCTAATTACTGATACTCACGTTGAGAACGTTGATAAAGGAGCTTCTGATGAGATCGTCGAATGATATCAACATTTGTAGAAAATTCAGCACTGAGCATGTACGTAAGAAGTACGTTAATTTCTGAATGTAAAGACAGCTACGTAGCCGGAAATACGCTATGTGAGTGTTAATTCCGAGGAGACGATCCGGTATTAATTTCCAATGTTCTTTCATTAGCAAGGTTCAATAGATTTGTAAGGTTAGGCAAGTACAGTCTCGGAATTATCTGCAAAGGAGGCATCATCAAGAGTGTGGTAAAATTGTGAGGGATAATTTAGACATTGTTTTAAGCCAAATGCGTCTAAATTGAGTTTATTTTTCGCCCATGTATTACAAACAGGTTGTCTTCAAAGTAATATTTTTTTATGCCATTGGCATCAATCACCGATTCAAATCGATCAACGTGGTCTGCCAAGAATTCCTTTCGTAAATGATTCGGAACCAACTCATAGAACGGACTTATTGTAATGAAACGGCCTGGGGATGAATGAATTAGTTTTTATGATTCAAGTGTACGCATTTGAGTTCACCTTCTAAGTCCTCCGCAGTATAATCTTCAAAATAAGTTGGTTTTACCTGGCAAAAGACACTTTCAAATCCTACATCTTCTAAAAGGCTAGTTAATTCCTTTTCTGGCATTCTCGCGTTCCTTGTTTTCTGGAAATTGGTAAAGTAAGGTGCGTACTTTTCATTTGTTTGCAGTTCTCTGATGATACGACCCGATGTACTAGAAAATACGTAAGTGGCAAGAAAGCCACCGTTCGGCTTCAACATTTTTAAAATGTTAGAATATAATTTTCTAGGGAAATATAGTTAATGACTCTATTAATCTCAGCTTACAAACCTATTATCTTCTATCCAATGGAATGTCATAAAAGAAAATATATAGTCGAAACGACCCACAAATTTATCTGGAACGTCCAATATATCAACTTCCTCAAAGCTAACCCGATCGTCACCGCAGGTTCTCTTCGCGTAATCGAGCATTGTTTTAGAAATATCAATTCCAATCACTTCTTTAAAATCTTGCTCCAGGTAGGGAAGAATAACGTCTTGAGTCGTTTTTCCCGGACCGCAGCCAATGTCCAACACTGACTTGTTGTGGTTCGTATCATGCCGAATATATGGAAGGTAAGTGTCCATTAAATGTCGATAATATTTCGTCAGCTGAGGTAATACATGTTTTATATACAGGTCTGGATTCTCCATCTTCAAAGAAAGGCAGCGCAATGATGCCAAACGTATAAGATAATTACAATACCTACATAGAAATAATTTTCGTGTTAAACTATAATAATAGCGTTACGGTACCTTCAAGAACAGGACCTCTACGAATATTTATGTCCAAGTCTGGAAATGTTGATAAAATCTTTGACTTATCGGTAATACGTAATATCTATCTTAATACACTGCACTGAATTCCAATGGAATCGATATTCTCCCAGTTACTTTTTACTTACAGTTTGAAAAGGGAACGCTAACAATCTGTCCACGTGTTTACAAAAGGCTACTAACTGTTGACCTATGCCCTCTCATATCACAAACTTGTTCCTTATCTAATGAACAGTGTGCCACTTTTTGGGATCTTATCATATCTTTACTACCCATGTAAAAGCCGTCTTACGCTGTGGAATTTCTTGCACCACATATATTGCACAATTTAAATTGCAAAGTATTATACAGGAAATTGCATGCAAAATCACATTGCAAATTGTATCAAAAATAGAACGGGTGCTATTTTTTATGCAAGTTTCAATTAGTATATTAAGATACATACAAGTGTATAATCAAGCCTTTAAAGCACGCGCAACGAGTTTAAGGGCACGACGCAAAGCGGAGTGCCTTTAACGTTGCAAGTGCTTTAAAGACTAATTATACACGTGTATCTTATAGTATTTTTTATTATACCTGCAGTATAATTTAAAAATAGGGAATACAATGAAGTCATATTGACGTTATACTCGAATACGTGTCTAATTAAGTGGGCTGGGTGTTCGTAATTTCACGATTGCCATGGAAATGTCACTTGACGTTTGCTTATAAAAATCATCGTCTTTGTGAATTAAACGATTTCCGTTGAAAAAGATAATACACCGCCCATTAAATCGATTGTTGTAAAATCTAAACAAACGTTGGTAGGTGTAAAATCCAACTCCAGTAAAGTCTAAAGCCTATTATAAAGAATATGAAAAGTTGTTTCCATGGATGAATAGGAAGTTACTTACGAATACAGTCTTAAATGCATCCATAATGCTGGCATATATGAAGGAAATGTCAAAGGTATTTAAATCTTCTATATTTTGGTGCATTCATTCAAAACTTTAAAGCAATGCTGCGATTAAAAAGTGGAACAGATTTGGAAGCATACCCTAAATTACGCGCGTTTGTGAAAGCTTCAACCAAAGGATAGGTACAAAAGCCAAAGAAATGTTCTGCATTTACAGAAAGCGACCTAGAGGATTTTTTATTTCATCCATATGACAGTTTCAAAAGTCATACTTGAAGTATCGTTACTTAGCAACTTTAAAGCACGTGTGTTTTAAAGGCCTTTTTTCGCACGCATTTGAGTGTTTAAAACGGAGATTGTGATTCAGGTATAATAAAAACAATTTTAAAATGCGCGTGCGCTGGTATAAAATTATAGTATAAATGCGCAGAATCCTCAGCTATTTCTTACACAAGAAATTGCATAGTGTAAAGCAGCCAGATCACAAAGGTTTGCTACATTTTCTTGCACAAGAACTTTCTTGCGCAACAAATTGCATAGTGTAAGACGGCTTTATAAAAGATCTAAAAACTGTTTATTTTAGGTAGATATCTTTAAGTAGAATCCAGTAGCGTAATAAAAAAAAATTGGATCACCTATTCTGAGATATGACCCAACACCCTGTCTATTGGAAAGCCAATTTTTTGTTTTTTTTTAATAAAAAATAATTCAAAAAATGGCTTCTATTGCGGTAAAAATGTAAAAAGGAATAGTAGAAATGTTTTAAGTAAACTAGTTGAGCATTGGGCCGTATGAATAAAAGTAAGCAAATGCTTGTACTTGTAAAATTCAAAGTAAATACTCGTAAGTGCTCCTTCGCACTGGGAGAGTTAGCAACGCTTCTAAGCAGAAAGAAAGGACGCAGTACAGCGCTGCTAAACCATGCTAAACAGACCAGTATGAAGGGGCAGTTACGAGTATTTACTTTGAATTTTGCAAGTATAAGCATTTGCTTACTTTTATTCATACGGCCCATTAAGGAAATAAAAGAAAATATTTTAGCAACATTGAAGAGGAGAGAGAAGACAGATTTGCTACCCCGCGCAGCTCTGTGCGATGAAAAAAAAAAGATTTTAATCTACCTGAGAAGAGGTGGTTTTTATCGAAAATCGTGGATATCTTGGAAACGGCTCAACTTTACGGACCCAATAATGGCTTCTTGTTTTCCATATAAAAATTTATGCTTCCTCTAAATTTCAGACCTCCGCGACTTTTTTTACAGAAATATATAAATAGAAAACGAAAAAAACAGTTTTTCCGGGTTTTCTCGGGAAATTTGAGGTTAAAAAAAAGTGTAGACAGAAAAGTTGTTCATTATTCCATTCTCTACAACTTTTACTTCAAGCATTTTCGCCTAACAGTTTTCAAATTAACCGACAGTTAGGCAGTTGTTATATTTATTACAATGCTAAAAATTTATTGTAGTCGTTCGTTACCCGTGAAACCAGCGTTGAACTCTGTCTTCGTAATCATAAAAAGTGCAAAATTGTCACATAGTGAAGATTTTTCCTGTTTGGAAGAATACGAGGGAGAATATAAAAGTTCGTTGGCACCAGACATTTGTGGTAATATAAAATTATGGCTTGCCCGTAACTCTTAAACGCCAGGATTCACATTTAAACAGCTACGCCCAGAGAACATTTGGATCATTTGAAAATTCACAGAAAAAGCGTGTCCGACGGCAAAGTTCCAACCTAATTTTGTATCAACATCGTGCCCTAATTAAAGTTTTAATCTTTTAAGTGACGATACTCCCAGAATGCTCAAGTTCAGTTCGTCGGACGATTTTAGTCGGAAAGACAACGGCGGGCAGACCAGATTTCGCATTGTAAGTATTGCTCGGCCGGACGATATAACCACCCGGAATAATTTTGAGCAACGATGGCTGGTCGGTCATGAGTATCGAGTTTAAGATAAACATCGTAAATTATATTCTTTTATTCCAAGGCAGAAAAAACTTCGTTCAAATTTCAATAAAGAGATCTTCCGATTTAGTGGGTGCGATTATATTTTAGATTAACTGTGTGTAAAAAATGGATTATTAGATTCGATATGAAGATCAGGATTGTTAAAAAAACCGTGGCTACCAAAATAATAAATAGTAAAATCTGTAAATGGAAAAGAAATCTTCAGTAAGTAAGTCAATTATACTAGCATCTGTGTTATGAGCTTAGAAAATCAAAATTTTATTTCAAGAAGGGAGTTTCAACCCCCATATATTCAAAAAAGTTTTTTTATGCCGGTATTCGCCCCTTAACATAACATAACCAGCGTAGAGGTTACCGTAAAAGCATATTTCTCTTATTTATTTATTATCCCTCTCTTGCTCTGGGCCCTCAACAGGCTTGCGCCCGATTACACAGTGACCACATAATGCTTTTTAGAGGTGCCCTGTAGAAGGTCTTAAGTTGTTCTATACTACTACGGTATTTATCTTACGAAAACTGCAGAAAACCTAATTCGGAGTAGCCGAAAGAATGCTCGAAACTTATCAAAGGAAATTCCCATCTCTGTCACAGATGACAAATTCTTACCTCAGCCCAGGTTCGAACACCCGACCTCCGGCTATGTAGCCCAACGCTCTACCACTGAGCTACATTATACATATGCAGTGACAGCGCAGGGTAGACACAAAGGGCATTTGGTGCTCTCTGGTCGGGCTCCCCGTATAAATAGAATAGAATAGGAGTTATCCACCAGCAAAAAGCACTTTTACTTTCAAAATTACAACAAACCCAGTTTTTAAATTAAGAACCCAGTGAAGATTCCGAAGTGTCATCAGTTGGTGTTTGTGCGTTAAAGAAAATCGCAGTTTTGTCCGGATGTTTAAAGGATTATTAACTCTGTAAGGTAAGTAGAATTTTCTTTTTAAACTTAATTTGTTTCAATCGATCGCATGTGCGTGGTATTTATCCTCAAGCCCTGAGTGCGTTTGTTTCTTATAGATTTATTGATAGATTTTCAGCTAATAAGTTTGTGTCGTGTGTAAATGATCAGCTATGTGTTTAATCGAGCCCAAATGACGACCCAGGATATAATGTTGTTAAGAAGTTTTTTCTATTCGTATTTTTTACCGCATGACATTGTATGAGTTTATTGGATCTTCTATGGGCATACTTAAACGAAACTTTTTGATGAAAACGTATACTTTTTCTCCCTGAATCATCCAATTTTTTTTACTTACTTATATGTTTTACCCTGTATAAGCGAGGTTTAGGTATTACGCACAATATCTTAATGCTAAATGTAACGGCAATCTGAAATGATCACTACGCATGTGCGTGGTATATTAAATATAATCCTCAGGCTCTGAGTGCCTTTCTTTCATACAGGTTTATTGGTTAATTTTGGTCGAATAGATAGTGTATAAAAATCAGCTGTGTGTTTAATCGAGTTCGGGATATAAGAGTTCACAAGATACGGTTATTAATTAAAAATTTGTTAATAATTCGTTGAAATTGTGGAGAGGGGGCTAAGGCTCGTGAGTTTCTCGCATATTAAAATTTGTCTCAATTAATTATTCATTAGTCAAATGCATTATAGAGTTGCGCTATGGCCCGCGGTAATAAAGCAAATAGCAAATTAGAATCAATCGGTCTATTGACCGAGAGGTGAGGCGGGGGAGGCTATAACATATATAATAAATAGAAAATGAATTAGATTGGCACTCTGGAGCTCGGATTATTTTTGTGTAGGGGTTTTTTAGCAATTGAAGAAGCATTTCTGTTAACCATTGCCATAGCTTTGACAATAGAATCAATAGACCAATCCCCATTCTCAAATTGAAACGAGTGAAAAGTTGTTACGTTGCAAATGCTAATCCTCCGTTCATTAAACCATAATCATAAACAATCAATAGATCAGGATTCCATTAAAATTAAGGAAATAACTTTTGTTGCTAAATTAACTATCATGTTGCCCATTTTGGTAATACATGTAATGTATATAGTCTAAGGGACAATTTATTAAACAATTGTTGGTTTATGTGCAATTACCACTCAAATAACGTCTACGTTATGGTGGGCACTAATGACTTTGCTATGATTTTGATTATTAGACCTCCTATACCGTCTGTAGAAAGATCGAAAAATATGTCTGTAGCTGATGTGGACGATGTGGTGCGCGGCTGTTGTTTTTCCCTACAAAGAAGGACCGCTAAAGAGGAAAAACGACAACGTTAATGTTTATGTTCGATTTGAATTTCTTCTTTTCATGTTATCGAAAGTATAAAACGCTAGCGATCGAAAGGTTATTCTCTCCAGTCTCCATAGTGGGTGAAGCGCAAACGGAAGCGTACCGCTTGCAAGGGCAGCTACGGCGGCGTCATGTAACCAATTGCCCAACTTTTTTCGTGAACAGTTATGGCAAGAACAACGAACCAATTTGATATTTGTAAGGATATGAGTATATCTCACGCA